AAGTCTTTTTAACCTCCCACATATTCTCACGTCATCTCCATCTTTCACCCCCAAAGTGAGTCCTGGACGCCCTAGACGCCAGAATTCAAAGGCACAGAGGAGGGACACTCAGGAGGATGGAGGAAGAAAGGTTGTTTCAAGGGATTTTTACATGGGGTCTATCTCCACCACCTGCCCACCTCCATTCCTGCTCCACCCCCGCCTGTCTCTTGGCTGCAGGCATGTATGTGTCCATAGGGCCCAGAATACATCCAGAGCTCTGGCCAGGTGCTCCCTGCTCCACCCCCCCCCACCTGCAACTGAGCCTCTTTTTCAACAAAAGCATCACCAAGAAGGCTTTCCCTGGCCACCCTCTCCCCACGATCCCAGAGTCCCCTTTTAGCACAGTGTTTGCCTTTAACCCGCTGGCTCCCTGTGTGTCTTCATGCAGACACGTCTATCAATTCACATGCACCCGTGCACCACACAGGGACCCTGCGCCAGCAGAACAAGGATACCTTGTGTTCCTCGGCCTGGACAGCGTCAAGGCAGAGGCCGCCAGGGACCAGGCACTTCATAAATGTGCCTCAGACAGAATGAATGAAGACGGAGGATGCTACTCAGTTATTAATGAATGCATTATTATTTATTAATGAATGCATTATCAATAAATGAATAAAGATTGATGGCACCCTGATGGGAGAAAGTCTGGCTTCAGAGAGAACAGTCACAGGTTCAAACACTGATTTCCAAACGGGAGTGTGGGGAAGTGCCCACCAAGCAAGCCAGAGACTAACTGCACCAGCCACCCCCGCTTCCCACCATCCATGCCAGACATCGCCACATGTACCTGGTGCTCCTACACTGCACCCTTCCTGCCTCTCACCCACCTAAACACAGACTCTAGAATCCCTGCTCACCCACAGGAATCAGGGTGGGATGCCACCAAGGCCTGCTGGGAAATACAGGTTGAACTCAAGGCAGGAACTGGGCGGGGGGGTCCTAGGTGAAGTGTGGTAGATGTGGTTGGGGCAGGGCTCCAAGCAGCGGCTGCAGTTCCTCGGCGCTTACAAGCTGAGACCCACCTAACACCCTCTGCTAAGCAAACATGGCGGCTTCCCTCTCAACTTCGGGGGCCTCCCACCCTGTTCTCCTGCCAATCATCTGATCAGGCACTGACCCACAGGGTTAGAGAAGAAGCTAACACTACGACCTGGTCACCTTTGCTGGGCTTCCCCACTCACAGCTTCAACAACCTCTGGGGATGGCCCCGCCCTTGTTCCCCACTGAAATCCACCACCCTGGAGAAGCATCAGGGTCTCCCCCCACCCCCCTCACCCACCTACCCCACCTACCTCCCAAGAAAGCAAACAGGTGTTGGCAGAGCAATGCCAGAGACCAGCCAGAATCAGCCGGCAAACCTGGTCTTCTCAGGGCTCCCTTTTCTGTCCCCACTGCTAAGCACCTTTTTAGATGACCACTCACTAATCCAGAGCCACTCCAGAGGTAGCCCTAGCTCCTGGACAGAGGCACCAGGACGTTTGCTGGTGAGCTTATGGGCGAAGAGAATGGTGAGCCTGTGCCTTCACTCAGAACTCCAGTCCCCAAGGCTGGAGAGATGATTCGGTGGTTGAGAGCCCCAGCTGCTCTTCCAGGGGATCCAGGCTCAATTCCCAGCACCCACGTGGCAGCTCACACAGCAGCGTCTGTGGCTCCAGTTCCCAGGGGATCTGGCATCCTCACACAGACATAAACACAAGCAAAACATCCATACACATGAAAATAAATACATCTTTAAAAAAAAAGAACTCCCACCCTGGAAGACCCTGCTAGAGAAATAACCCTCTGCTCCCCAAGAGCAACCAAAGATGGGGACCTGAGACGGGGCTGGAGCGTTTGCCCCATCTGGCAGATGTGTTCATCAGCCCACACAGTAGACGCCCGATGGCAAGGGGGGAGGCATCTGAGAGGCACACACTCTGTTTCATAAGAGCCAGCCTGTGCCAGGCAAAACAGAATTCACGGATCAGGCAGCAGGGATTTAAAGTGAAAATGAAAAGAAAGCCGTATCTCCAGGTTGATAACTGCAGATATTAAAGCCACACAGCAGGCTCAAGCAAGTGTGGAAGGGGGTCAGGGAGGGGGATCAAAAAGTGGTGGCCCCAGGAGATGGATGGGACATGAGGACACCAGAGAGACACGGAGGAGCTGGCAGACCACGTGGACAGATCACCCAGAGGGCAAGAGAGAGACGGAAGAAGGGAGGACAGGCACAGGCCGTGAGAAACGCAGAAACTGACCCCCCCCATGAGACCTGTGGAGGCTGAGGAACATGCCGGCAGCCATGTGGCAGAACGGACACACACACATACACACACACACACACACACACACACACACACACACACACACACCAGAGGAGTCCCACGCGGAAAGGGGAAAGTGGGCGTTTGAGAGGCAAGAGAAACCCCAGAACGTCAGAAGAAAGGCATTCTTTTGCTGGAAGAGGCTCACGGGGGGCCTGCGGGATGGGTTAAAAATATAAATTAAGAAGTATATCCAACTTAGAGACATCAGAGGGCAGTTTAAGTTGATCAAAGGAAAGAGGACAGCTTAAAAATGTTCAAAGGAAAAACAGGGGCTGGGAGTGAAACTTGGCTCGGGTAGGGCTGGCCTGGTATGAAGGAATCCCCGGGCTCAGTCCCAGTACTGCATAAACCCGGCATCGTTGTGGGCAGCTGTCACTCAGGAGAAGGAGGCAGCACGGCCAGAGACTCAAGGCCAACCTCAGTACATGCCTAGCCTAGCTATACGAGAGCTTATTTGAGCAAAAAAAAAAAAAAATGAGGGAAAAAATGGGCCAGCACGATGTCTCAGTGGGTAAAGGTGCCCGCTTCCAAGCCCGACGACCTGGGTTTTATCCCAGAGATGCTCAGAAGGAGAGGTCAGTTCTAGTGAGTTGCCTTCATAACTCTCCACATGTTAGCCTGGGCACGCATGTTGTTATGTGCATCCATGCACACATTAAAAATACACACAATACATAAAAGTTTCAGTGAAACTGTAAAGTATTGGGGTAAGGTCATGTAACATGCAAAGCTTCTATATAAATAAAAAAGAGAATGACTTAGGGTCCTCGACTCATTTGCTAAGAAATGGATTTGTCCACAGTTGCCAGGGAAGGGGGTCTCACCCCCAGAGTGGGGTACACCCATGTCCAGGCAGCGAGATGTCTCTGTCAATTCTAGTATTTATATATTATCCTTCTGTGGTCTTTGATAGAATTGAAGTCAGATAGTTATAATCATAGTTTTCCTTAGTTATGATAAAAGGTAAGTTACATATAAGACTTTAGACTCACAAAGATAGGATAGATGATACTTTCTTTAAATCTTACTAAATGTTAATGAAAAAATATTGTAACTATGTTCTTACTTGATAACTGTTCTGTTATATATAATTTGACTATGTTAAAGTTAAGACCTTTCTTTTTGTTTAGACAGAAAAGAGGAGATGATGGGAGATGTCATTCTGAAAGCTGTCTCTTATTGGTTGTTGAATAAAGCACTGTTGGCCAATAGGGAAGCAAGATAGGTGGGACTAGGAGTCGAGGAGGATTCTGGGAAAGAGAGACACAGGGAGTCATCATGCAGCCACCATAGAAGTAGGAGGTCCGGACCCTTTCTCCAGTAAGAGAAATACTTAGATTAACAATTATGGGATTAAATACTTAAATCAGAGATATCCAGTAAGAAACAAGCAAATGGCCAACAGCTTTATAATTAATATAGGCCCCTGTGTGTTCATTTGGAACTGATGCGGCTCTGGCACCAGGCTGGCGGGAAGGCTGCAGTCTACACACCCACAAGGATGCAGACACCCAGGCAGCCGCGGACACCAGTCCTCAGTCACCGGGTCACACCAGAGATACCAGGATGTAATGTGTGAAAAACCCACATTAAAAAGTAAAGCAGCAGAAGGAAAAACTGTGTTGATGGAGTATAACAGTCCAGAGCGCCTGACAGGCCCTCCTCGCAGAGCACCTGGGAATACTGTCCCCCTTACAGCAAACACCGCTGAACAGAAAGCAGAGCTCACAGCAGAAAACAAAGGCATCTTGGAGAGTGAGGGTGACCTCAGGTGAGTGTCAACACAGGGCATGGGCTATGGGTGAAGGCGAGACCTTGACCTCCAAGAGTGGAGTTCAAGCCTGATGTGTCTGATGAGCCAGGACTGCAACTTCAGTGAAGCAGAAGGTAAAAAAAAAATCTACCTCCCAGCAAGGAGGCCATGCTGGCTGGTATTATGTCAACCTGGAACTATTTAGAATCATCTGAGAGGAGGGAACCCCAACTGAGAAGATGCCTCCATGAGATCAGGCTGCAGGCAAGCCCGTGGGAGCATTTTCTTAATTAGTGATTGATGGGAGAGGGCCCAGCCCACCACGGGTGGTACCATCCCTAGGCTCCTGGTCCCGGGTTCTATATGAAAGCAGGCTGAGTAAGCCAGTAAGTAGCACCCCTCTGTGGCCTCCAGGTTACTGCACTGTTTGAGTTCCTGTCCCGGCTTTCTCCAGATTTTCTCAAAGCCATAAAGGTAGCTACTGCACCCCTGATACCCTTCAGGGTCTTCAGAAAGGCTGGAAGGTCATACCGTCGATTCCAGTTCACAGCTCCCCCGCTCACCACAGACTTGCACGGGTCACTCTTAATCACTTTCATCGTGAAGGGTCTTCTCACACATGCTTCCTGCCTGATAATGACCTTCTGTCTCCTGGAGGGGGCAGAACCCTGGGACTAAGGCTTTCCAGGGATACTTCCTGTTAGGATCTGTTTTCATGGACCCTTGGCTCCAGGTTCCCATTCCTTCAAAGATAGGAACCAACAGTGGCTCCCTTCCCTCCCCACCAGAAACTTCCATGGTAGCAGAAACAATTAGTAGTTTCTTCCATTATCTATCTAGAAAGGTCTTTACATGTGCGCCTTTTAATTAAAAAATTATTTGTATTTATGAATATGTGTGTATGTGCATATGAGTGCAGATGCCCTCAGAGGCCAGAAGAGGGCAGCAGATCCCGTGGTGATGAAGTTATAGGTGTCTGTGAGAATCCCATCATGGGTGCTTGGGAACCAAACTCGGGTCTTCTGCAAAAGCAGTGCGCATGCTTACCCATAGAGCCAACTCTTCAGCCCCTTCACCCCAGACATTTTTTAAGGGGTATTGTATCTAAATCATGACAGGCTCGCCATTTGTAGCAGAGTGGGGACTTGGGCCCTGCAGTCTCCGCACCCAGAGTCCACGGTGTCAGTATCTCTGCCATGACACAAGCAGCCTGAGTGGCATGCATAGCTTCAAGCAAACATCCTGCAGATTCTCAGGCAAGGCCAGGGAAACCCATTTCCTTAGTGCCTCTCTCTTGGTTGGGGTTATTGCTGTGACAAAACACCATGACCAAAACAACTTGGAGAGGAGAGGGCTTATTTAGCTTCTGGTTCCTGAGGGAGAACCTGTAATGCCAGAGAGGCATGGCAGCAGGAGCAGGAAGGTGGCTGATCACATCCTACACGCAGGAAGAGAGAGAGAGAGAGCAGGAAGTAGGGTGACAGTGTAAAACTTCAAAGCCTGCCCTCAGTGACATACTTCCCCCAGCAAGACCCCGCCTCTTAAAGATTCCACAACCTTGACAAACAGCGCCACCCACTGGGGACCAAGCGTTCGAATACTTGAGCCTGTTGGGGACAATTCTCATCCACCGCCGCCCCCACAGGCAGTTAAGGCCAGCAGAGGTCTTGCGTGGTCTTCCCCTGAGCTGTTTGTTGGAGGGAAGGAGGGGATGTCAGAAGGTATTCAATGGTGACCGACCTGAGCGAAGCCTAAAGCAGATCATGCGAAAACAAGAGCAGTGGCGTTGGCAAGCCGACTCAGTGGGTACAGCTGCTTGCTGCCGAGCCCGAGGGCCTGAGTTCAAACCCCAGGCACCACATGCTCCAAGGAGAGAAGCAGCCCCTACAGGTTGCCCTTCTGAGCTCCACGCACGCGTTGCGTTAAACCCCTCCCAGCAACTAAACAAGCAGGAAGAAAAGAGCCTTCCTCCCACCAGCACGCAGTACCGCCAATGAGCGGCTGTGAGCTGCGCACGTGGACGCCCGCTGCGTGCACCTGAGGCCCAACCCCGCAGAAAGGGAATCGACAGCGCAGTCACTTCTTTGTCTTCTCAACACCGTGGAAACAATCTGAGCTAGGACACTATTCCCCCACGCTCCTTTGTACAGGAATGTGGAGAGGGAACGCCCTCCGTGCCTCCATGGAGACCACGAAGAGCCGCACTGAAGGTCTCCAGGTGCCGTCAGCCTCACCCAGCCTCCACTCCAGGTCCAGCCTGAGTGGGTCCACCTGTGGTACTGTCCCGCCGCACAGCCCCGGTGTTGGATTCTTTCCCGCGCCCGCGTAAGCGCTGATTGCGTCTCAATCAGCTGGATCAACTGCAGCGCTATCTATGCAAACTAGCAGTTAAAGTGCCATAAATAACTCAATTGGCCACTTCACAGGAAGGTTATTTCCATCCCATACAAAAGGGCTTATGTAACTCCCATGCAGAGCTGGGAGGAAGCGCCATGCTCTCCTCTCTGGGTGGACTCCCTGTGTGTAGTCAGCTCTGAGACCTGGACGCAGCTCAGAGGACTCTGAAAGCCCATATCACGCCCCTCCCTCCAGTGTCCTTGCCTCCCTCCACGGGGACTCCACCAGCAACCGTCCGAGAGGAACACACAGACGTAAAACAGCCACCTTCCATCATCTCCCACGATCCTATTGGACCCTCAGTCCTCAGTGGTATCCGAGAGGGGGACTCACTGTGTGCTGCTATCAGCCATCTTTAGCAGGGCTGTGCCGGGACTGATTCCCGCACATCCAGTAGATGGTGCTAACCGTCATCTGGGGGCACAGGTAAACCCCCTTGTCTTCCTTGGGGGTAAGTCACTTCTTTGCATATGCTCCTGGCTTCCAGGAGGGCCAACACTGAGGCTGTAAGTCCCGATCATCCCTGAAAGTCTTGTCTTCTTACCTCTGGCTCATTCAGGTGGTCACAGCAGGGTGTCAGATCCAGGGGTTGGGGGTTGCAAGAGTTGCAGCCAGAGCAAGGTGTCCCACCGTTCGCCCAGCTCCATGAGCCCATGAGAGACAGTTGTTAAGTCCCAACATGGAGGCAAGAAACAGGCTAAGCTGGTCAGTGCCACTGCCGTCAGCATCCTCCCTTCTTCACCCTCTCACCTGTCTCAGCTCTCTCCAACGGGTGGAGACCACGCTACCTCTCTGCCCTCAGAACTAAGGGCCATTCGCTCTCGGGTTCCCTACTCACCAAACCACGAGGCGCCAATCCCAGCAGCCCTTGAGCTTTCCGGCTTCACTCATGAGCTCAGAGAAACCCTGCCTGCCCCCAGGAGCCAGGAACAAGCCCAGATGGCACCTGAGCAAAGTCCACTGTCATCCAAGGACTCCTCCGCGTGGGTCTCAGACACGCAGGGCTTCTCAGGTGACGGTGCCTGACTCCCCTGTAAATGACGGCTTTTGAGAAATGACCCAAAGCCAGCAGAGAGAGCACAGAGGCTTGGATGACGAGTCTGTATGAACCGGAGGGCACACAGAATCTGGAGACCTGGGACCAGGGACTCTAGGAGAGAAGACCAGGAAGGCCTGGGACATAATGTGGACCCCATCTCTGGGTGAGGCAGATGCTGGAACAGGCTCCTAAGACGGGGCAGTGGCTCTGAGCCCCAAAAGCTGTGGCTTTCCTGCTCAGTGGACGTCTAGGAAAAGCGGTTGCCTTGCAGGGTTCTGCAAACAGCTGCGTTCTTAACTCCAGAACACACTCAGAGTCCCAAATCACCACCGCGACAATCAGTCCCCGGTCCCTTCTCTGGTCTGCAGCCTCGGCTGCCGAATCCTGCAGGAACCCAAAGGTTCAAGCACTAGAAGCCTGAGCACCCAGGAAGTGGAACGAAAAGGTGACGGAGGCAGGGGCTAAGGGCAAAGGTGACAGTTCACGGGGTCACTAGGACGAGCAGCTTATGGGCCCTCAAAAGAAAAGGGTTCTAAAGAGTAAGGTTGGGCTCCGCCCTACTCCGGCTTCCGGCTTCTCCTCTCAGTCCTTTCCCACCTGTGACGTGATCCGCCACGAGGTCCCCACCAGAAGCAGAACTGAGGGTCACCCAGCCTCCCAGCCCCTGTGGATCCCAGGCTCCATCCGGCAGCCCCTGGACCCCTGCCTTCCCCGGGCATTGCCTTTGTCAGACACGCTGTGGTTCAGCCTTCCGTTCCCTCCCTCCCCGCATACTTAGCCTTCGTGTCTTCCCCACTCCCGGGATGTCCTTTCCAGGCTTCCCCTTTTCGATGGCAATGCCTCACTCTGGGTTTAAGGACCGTTTACTTAAGGATTGTCTTTGTCACTCTCCCTGCACGATTGGCCTTCCGGCCTGAAGTTATCAGCCAGGTTCCGGAGGCCGCCTCTCTCGGCCTTGCCTCCTTCAGGGCCTCCCAGGCCCAGGCCGTCAGCCTTCACTACCGGGCCTGGGAAGTGTCTGGGTGGAGGAAACCCCCAGACTGACTCTCAACCAGACATACTCGAAACCAAAGAGCCCCTCTTTCTACCGAGGCCAAAGGTGGGGGTGGGGAGGCAGCAGAGGCTGGTTTCTGAGGTCAGAATCGCTGCCAGGCTGAGTGGCTCTGGCTGGGCCAACGTTTGGGCTGCTTCCTCAGCCGTTGGAGGGAAGGCGTCCTCAAGGAGGCTCTGCTCTCTTTGGTTCTTTTCTACACACACACACACACACACACAGATACACACACAACACACACAGACACATACAGGCACACACACATATGTGGCCCTTCTCATGGGGCTCTGCCCTGAACTTCAGGGAGGGGGCAATGCTGGGGACTGGGAGGATAACAGTTCTAAGTGAGGGTGTGTAAAGGGAAGCCTTCCCGCCAGCCTGGTTCCAGAGCCGCATCAGTCCCAAATAAACACACAGGATGCTATATTAATTATGAAGCTGTTGGCCTTGCTTGTTTCTTACTGGCTATCTCTGACTTAAGTATTTACCCCATAATTGTTAATCTAAGTATTTCTCTTACCGGAGAAATTTCCGGGCTTCTTACCCCATGGCGTTACATCTTGACTTCCTGTGTTTCTCCTTCCCAGCTTCCCAGAGTCTTCTTGGACTCCTAGTCCCACCTATCTTGGTTTCCTATTGGTCAACAGTGCTTTATTGACATATACACAGGACTTCCCCCATCAAGGGTGTGAAGGGATTACTGCGTTCACAACCACACAGGCCACCTCTTCTTCCTCTTTCTTCTTCATCCCTAAACAGCTCCACATCCTCTTCAACATCACTCAAGGAGAGGCCCAGGTCCGGAGTGCCACCATGGGCTTCCCCGGCCACTGACACTGATGAGAATCCAACAGCAGTACCAACAGGAGCCCAGCTCACAAAGTCCTTCACTCGGCGAGCTCGCGTGTGAGCGCCAATGTGTTCGCCACAGCCACAGGTTATAGCTGGAGCCACACACAGAGAGAGATGCCCCCAACCGTAGCCACAGAGACCTGCCCGTGGGTCACTTCCCTGACTCTAGAGAGTTCTTGAGCCCCTGAACTGGCTCTAGAAGGTTCCCCATGGAACCCGAAGGTGGCTGAAAGACACTGACTTCTCCGGCAGGGCTTGGGAGCTGAGGTCTGGCTTTCAAGGAACTCCTTGGAGCAATGGTGGCCTGCTTCATCAGGACCATCTGAGCCCGGAGGCTGCAAGACCATCCTCCTGCTCTCGTCATCCCTTCCTGGGGCTCTCCTGTTCAAGTGCCTGCCAGAGGCTGCCTCCATCATCGTGACGGTGGATAGATACCACTTGTCAACTTGATGGATCTGGAACCGCCTAGAAGACGTACCTTCGGGCACAAATGTGAGGGAATTTCTGTATCACATTAAATGGGGTACAAAGACGCCCAAACTGTAGGTGGCACCATTCCATGGGCTGGGGTTCCAGACGAATAAAAGGAGAAAATGAACCAAGCACCAGCGACCCCCCCTCTCCAGCACCCATCTCTCTCTCTCTCCCTGCTTTCTGACTGCAGACGCAATGTGAGCATCAGCCTCTTGCCATGCCTCCTACCACGATGGACTGCACCGCACAGCTGTGAGTCAGAGTAGACCCTTCCTGGATAAACTCCCGTCTGCCAGGCATTTTGTCACAGCAATGACAGAGACAGCAAATACAATCATCCTGAGCTGTGTTGCATCCCCCAACTCTGCTCTCCAACTAGAACAAGACGTTGTAGATGCCTGGTCCTGAATTCTGGGAACTTTCCCTTTATCCGCTCTCTGTCTGCGAGTCCTGGAGGCCCTCCACAAGTGGCCACAGGGCCTCCACCTCCAGGAGAGCCTCAAGGCTCATCCCTTGCCCTTCTCCCTCTCTTCCTTATGTAACACTGGAGACAAGAGAGGAGATGAAGGCGTAGAACTCAGTGCCGTGAGCGCAATTGTGACGGCTCTCTCACAGCTGCCTTCTCACGTGAGAGCGTTCCGCCTTCTAGAAAGACAGCCAAGCCTTTCGACGATGGTCCAGGGTTTGTTCCCAGGAAGCACAAAGGGACTTTTGTCTTAGGAAAAGGCCGGTAAGCTCAGTTCACGTGTGGACGTGTGGGTTGGCACACTCTGTGAGCGGGGAGCGGGGAACAATGTCCCCATTCTAGCCGATGAGGGGGTGAAGGCTGGTGCCTCGCACAGATGAGGGCAGGGAGCTCCACCCTGACCCCCAGGCTGAGGATGTGCCATGAGCAGGGAGCTGAGTGTACTGGTCTTAGGTCTGCTCTTGGGTGGGCACACTCCAAGGTGACTGCGGTGGTTTCCTCTAACTCCTGTGCTGACCACCCCCCAAGCTTCCTGACACTGTCGTGACCATCACCTCAGACAGTCTACAGCAAAGAAGGAAGGTGTCACCTGACACACAGTGGCAGGAAAGGCCGACGGTGCATGATGGCAAGCTCACACACGCAGGGCGGCAAAAAGCATTCACCTTACGGCTGGAGAGGGAGGGGGGAACAAAAGCAAGAGAAGGGGCTGGGGGTCCCATGATCCCCTTACAGGCCAGGCCCCTATGGTCTGAAGCCCAGGCCAAACCTCCCACCAGATCACACATGTCAAGATAAAGGCCCTTCTCAGTCATGTCACGCCACGAGCCAAACCATCAGCAGACAGGCTTTGAGAGACAAAAACAAGAGGAGTGAGTCTGGTTACACTGGCTGGGAGAATTATGAATTGCGACAGCCTTGAGCCTTTCATCATGCCAAAGAAAATTCTTGATTTACTAATTAATTAATTAATCAGTTAATTAATTAATTAGTAGTGTAGGAGGTGGCATCTGGTCCCTCATCATGCAAGGCGAGTTTTACAATGTGCTGCCGGCCCAGTCTCACCTGCTGCAAAGTTTCTGTATACGTTTGTGCATTCATGTGTGTACAGGCACACACGTGTTCGGCTGTGTGTGTGTGCATGCGAACATTCACGCACGACTGACCAGAAGACCCAAGAGCTCCTGGTGTCCCCATCCCCCAGTGCTGGTGTCCCTCACATGCATTTCCACACTGCCTCTGTAGGGTGGGTGCCGGGGACTGAACTCTGGTACCCTGCTGGCAAGGCAAGTGCTATCTGCTCATTGCAGAGCTTTGCCCGGGCAATACTCTGCGGGGTGAGAACTGCTCGGCTCACCTGTCTCGGACCTCTGTAGCTTCCGCGTCTCCAGGTAGACTCCAGTTCTTGACCATGCCGTGGACCATGGACCTGAGACACTCAGCAGTCTGGGAAGATGCCGGTCGGTCTCCCTGTGATCAGTGTGAGAGGCCCTGTCTGCCTGAGTCTGAGAACAAACCCCTGCCCAGGGTAGATGCACCCTCATTAAGAACCCTCAAACACTCGGGGTTCAGCCTCTGCCTCTTCCCACCCCCAGAAAAAAAAACATGGAGGTCGGGAGACGTGGGGTCCTGGCTGCTCTTCCTCCCTCACCTGATAAATGAGGCAGGAGCCTTGAGGCAGCCAGAAGCCAGCAGCTCCTTGAAAACTCCACCCTCCTCCCTCTGGGGGGGCCTTAATGACACGTGTGCCTCCAGCAGACACCCCCTTGGCCCACCTGAGGTCTCCACTCAAGTCCTGTGCACATTTATCTTGTTTCTGTTTGCACCCAGGCTCCTTCCCCCTTGAAGCCTCCAGTCTCGAAGCAATGGTATCTTTGGAGGAGGTGCCCGGGTGGAAAGTGCCCGGGTGGGATGCAGAACTTGACAGGGAATAGCTCTTCTGTTCGAAGCAATGGTTTGGTTTTCGTTTGATATGAGAGCATGATCTTCGCTGGGGTAGGAGGATTCAGACTCTAATTTCATTGGCTGAGGGGGTCAAGATTATCAGAAGTAGACGTTAGTGGCAAAGGTTCAGGTGAGTGAGGGTAGATTCACAGACCTCACCTGAGGGTAGATTCACAGACCTCACCTGAGGGTAGATTCACAGACCTCATCTGACAGCTGAGGGAATGCTGGGGTGGGGTAGGCAGGTGGAGCCTGAGCTCCTCTCTGTACCCTTAGCTACTTGGTTGCCTACAGGACACGGCTGCTTCTGCAGAGCAATGTGGCCTAGCAGGGGCCTTAATGCTGACACGAGGGTGAGCTGTGAGACCTTCCAACCTTACACTCTGTGAGTGAACGGCAGAAGGGTGAGGAGTTGAGACTGACTGACAGGCAGTTCTGGGGCACCCCCGACCCCAAGTGTACCCCAAATTCCTTGTGTTCTTTCCTATCCTGCTCACTGGGGGGGTGGACATGGAATGGGTCAATGAGGGGGTTCAAAACTTGCCAGCCTCCAGACAGTCACTCCCAGGAAGCCCCCTGCCCTGTTCTCTGCCCAGCATTCTTAGGAAGGATGCTGCTTGGTGTGGCCTGTCCGGCTGGGGAAGGTGCCAGGAGAAGGAAAGCTCAGAGCCAGCATTTTCTTTGGAGTTTCCGAATTTCTCAACAGAAGTTCATTGCCCTGCAGATGCATAAAAGCAACTAGTTAGAAGTATGGGGGAAGCTAGGGGAATCCCCCAACAGCAAGAAAGTGGCCACTGGAGAGATGCGAGGGTACAGACCACCAGTAGCCATGCTTTTATTTTTTTTTTAAGACGGCTTGCGTATGCACATGTGTGACGTGAGAGCCTGTGCTTGCCACGGCACGCGTGTGGAGGTCACAACGTGAGGGAGTATAGTTCTTCTACAGTTTGCCCAGAGTGCCTGTTGCTTCAGGGTGGCCGGTCCACAAGCTTCCAGGCTCTTCTTCTCCGCCTCCCTCCTCACCGTGTGCTGGGACTTAACAACCGCGCGCACCACACCCGGTTTGTTCCTTCACCCACTGAGCCATCCCCCCACTCCACCCTCCCCCCACTCCCCCCGGGCCTGGTCATGCTTTTTTTTTTTTTGGTTTTACGAGACAGGGTTTCTCTGTATTGTTTTCGAAGCTGTCGGTCCAGCCTGGCCTCGAACTCACAGAGATCTGCCTGCCTCTGCCTCCCGAGTGCTGGGATTAAAGGCATGCGCCACCACCACCCGGGCCTGGTCATGCGTTTATGTGAGAGAACTAACAAGATGGTGTGGATGGGTTGGAAAACGGGGACACAAGGAGGGGCAGCTGAGGGAGCTAGGCAGGCACAGTGCCGCCACTCCAGAGCTGTGGAGATCCTCCCAAGGACACCGGGACCCAGGAAGGGAGACTCCAGCACGCCGGACCCTCTGAGGTGCAGAAGGACACCCGATGACCGGAAAATGTCCTGGGTCCTTCCCCAACACTGCCAAAAAAACCCAGGAAGTTTGGGGGCGGGAAGGGATGGGAAGTTGAGGAGAAGGAGGGAGGAGGAGGAGGAGGAGGGAAGGAAAGGAGGAGGGATAATATAAAAGGAAGAATCTTTCCTTTGCAAGCGGCCCACAGTCGGGCATCTTATAACCACGGAAGAGGGTTGGCTAACACACCCCGCAACTTCTGACGTTTAAAACACCCTCCCAGCAGTGGAATGTGAGCTCCCCTGCCATGCACAAGTCCTGGCCTCTCAGTTTTACCCAGTTTCGAGACACACAGGCACCCAGCGATTCCGCCTGCTCTCTGTCATCCTCTATACGACAAACAAGCTTCATGCCAAGCCCCGTAGAGTACTCCTAGCTTGTCATCCCCCCGCAACCCCTGCTTGTACCTCTGGCCATTAACATTTTGCACACAATAGCAAAAAACACGATCCCTCTGGAATTTATAGAGATGGCTATTTTAATCATCTTTTATGGTGTGTCTTAATTATATATCATTTTTAATGACAGTTGAGGAAATAAGTTATTCTTGCTGGCACTTTTATGACCTATTTAATATCGCAGATCAGGGGTTTTATTGTATTGCATTCTGGGTATTGTACACAAACTAGCAGAGCGGAGGGAGGGTTGCCTGGTGGAGCTGCGCACAGTGGGTGGGGAGGGAGCAGGCTGCTCTTACAGTAGAATTCTTCCAGATTACATGGTGTACCAGGGCTCTCATTTCTGGGTCTGTATAATAATTGTAATTTTACTGCAAAAGCTGAGTGTTGGATAAAAACTTCGCTTCAGGGGTAATTTAATCTAATATAAAAGCTCTGCCCAGGGTCAATGTTAGAGAGAAACAGGATTGGAGAGCCAGCCTCTCGCTTCTGACAAAAGGCACCCTCCCTCTCACGGGTGAAGGCCTGCTGTCTTCTGGGGTGCCAGGCAATGTGGTTTCTTAATGCCATTTACGTACACAAGGGAGAAAAAAGCAAAAGACTCACTCATGTGTGTGCAAGTGTGTGCGCATGAGTGTGTGCGCATGTGTGTATGCATGTGTGCACAAGCGTGTGTGCATGTGTGTATGTGTGTGCATGTGTGTATATGTGTGTGTGTGCATGCGCCTGTGTGACCCTACACATTCGCAAGTATGCATAGGACAGGTGTATACAAGTACATGTGTATGTGTGGAAGGCAGAGGACAACTTCAAGAGTCATTCTGTGAGTACTGTCCACCTCTGTCCAGAACAGGAGCTCTCACTAGTCTGGAGCTTGCTTATTAAGCTATGCCAGCCATCCAGCGAGCCCAGGAGACTGGCTGCTCTCTGCCTGCCCAGTGCTGTAATTACAAGTATGTGCTATCACATCTGGTTTTGCTTTTAATGTTTGAGTTTTGGGAATCAAACTCAAATCCTTGACCAACTGAACCATGCCCTAGCCCAGGGCCCATGAATTATTAAGCCAATGATGTCCTGATTTCTTCTCAAAAGTTTTGAACATGAGACAGTTCTACACAGGACTGCCGTATCCCAGAGGCCCGCACAGAGGATTTAGGAACTCACCAGAACTGCCCATGTGGCTCCTCCTCACAATCCGGAATCCCAGCCAAGGTCCACTCTGCTCAGACTGTTGGATCGCTAATGAAAGCAGCACCCAGGGCTGTCACAGGCTCTGTGTGGAGGAGGTCAATGAGGCTGGTGGTTTCCCTGCTCACTTCTGAGCTTACCTTGTATGATGGCGATTCTTGGTTGTCAACTTGACTACATTTGGAATTAATTAAAACCCAAATCCTGTGAGGGATTTTTTTTCTTAATTAGGTCATTCGAAGTGGGGAAACCCACTTCTAATCCGAATCTTTGAGGTGAAAAGACACACCTTTTATACAGATTCTGGGGTGGTGAGACCCACCTTTAACTGGACCACACCTTCTGCTGCGGCCTATATAAAGGACATGGAAGAAGGAAGCTAGCTTTCTCTTCGCCTGCTTGCTCTTGCTGGCAAGCCCACTCTCTTCACCGACAGCAGAGTCTACTTCTTCGGGATTCCAGCATCTATTGAAGACCAGCTGAGACATCCAGCCTCTCAGATTGAACAACTACTGGGTTATTGGACCTCCCATTAGAATACAGTAACTGCTGGATTATCAGGACCACAGCCTATAAGACATTCAAACAAGTTCTCTGTATATAGAGATTCATTCTATAAGTCCTACGTAGCTGGAGTTTCTTTCCAGCCTGGTCCCGCAGCCGATTAGCCCCAAATAAACACGCAGACTTATATTAGCTTGTAAACTGTTGGCCGATGGCTAGGGCTTCTTACTGACTAGCTCTCTCTTAATTCTATAACTATTAATCTATGTATTTCTATGTGGCCTTATCTTACCAGAGAATGCCTGGCGTATCCTGTTTTCCTGGGCTCTACATGACATCTCCTTGCAGTCTCCCTCTGCCTTCCTCTCCCCAGTCTATCTCCTCATCTGGTCGCCCCACCTCTGCTTCCTGCCTGGCTATTGGCCCATAAAGTGTTTAATTCATCAACCAACAAGAGAAACACATATACAGAAGGACTTCCCCCATCAGTCCTGTTCCTCTAGAGAACCCTGACTAATGCGCCATGCTTCTCCCACCTGGTCCTTGGCTTGCTGATGCCATATGAATGTCACCGTTATCTTGCTGACTCCCAGACACTGAGAATCCAGATGCCAGCCTCCAGATGCAAGATCACCAGAGGCCTCATGTCGGCTGCCACCAGAAGGAATAGTCCATGGTGGGCCCAGATACTGTGCACACTCGGGGACCCAAGTGCACACCCAGACAGAGGCTCTCACAGGGGATACTAGACAGATCTTGCCCTTTAAGAAAACAGACCCCTGAGCAGGCCAGGAAAAGGAGGGGAGGGCTTCATTACAAACAGGCATGAGGCAGATATTCCTCATGGGAGGGTCCCGAAGAACAGAGTCAGAGACTCAGTGAGACCCACGACAGCCGGCTGTGCTGGTCACATCCACAGCCACCAAGTAAGGGAGCCTCACAGATGGGTATCTCAGTGGCTTGTGGCTTTGCCTTGAGGAGTGGGGAGTTGGCACCTCTAGGAAGCCTTCTCCTGCAGGTGCACAGGGCTTGCTTGGGAGGAGCTGGGCTGACTCCGTGTCTGGGAAAACCCCAGTCACAGCATCAGGTTCCCCACCCTAGGGTGACACAGTTGCTGGCTGGCTGCTGCTACTCCTCCATCAGAAGCAGGAGGCAGCTCTCCACTGGGCTCCAAGGAGCAGGGTGTGATCCCACCAACCACAGTTTGTGCACACATCTTAAATCGTAGTGGATTGTCTCCAGAATGCTGATACCGTATTTGTGGCTCCCCTCCCTGCCCTGTAACCACCTTGGCTTACTGGGATATGGGTCTTAATGCATCCACACCTTCTACTGCAGGACCACAAGAGTCTGCCTAAGGCCACTCCCTTTAATTTTATTTGTTTATTTTTTGTGGATATGGCTGTCTTGCTTGCACGAATATCTGCATACCACATGCGTACTTAATGACTGCAGAGGCCCGAAGAGAGTGTCGGATCC